TTAGTCAATTCATAAATAAGTAAACAAGATCTATTTACGAGTTAACTAATTACGAATTATCATATTTATGAGATTGAATTGTAAATGTAATATTATCCAGAAAAAATAACCTAACAAACTATTATAGCATTTGCTAGTACTCATTGGGAAGGTTTGGTTTTCATGGATGAGTAATGAGTTATGACAAATGAAGCCTATTTGTAAGTCGGATTTTGAGTTGTGTTTTTAAAGTGCAATTTCGGAGCTGTATGAATGTGGCATAATATGGAAGATTTTTCATGGAAGGTGGTTTTTTGAATTGACAGGTTGAAGTCATTGTGTCGTGACGGTTTAAGATGTTATAATATTGTGTTATTTTTATGTCATGTTTTTTGTTTGAGAAACCCATTAACTTATGACAATTGAAATGAAATGAAAATCTTACTACCATTACCATTGTTGAATCAACACTGAATCAGGCACCACGATAAATGCTTACGATTATCGTTGTTTCATGATGTATGAATTTTTGGTTTTCTCAATTGTAAGGGGTGATTTGAGATTTAAAAAAAAAATTAAGAGTTATGACAGGGAATTATTATTTTTTTATAATTATGAATATGTATGATAGATAAATAAGTAATTTAGATGTAAATGTATTACATGTAAATTAAATTATTTTTTATTGTAATAAGCTTTTAATTTTTTTTAAATTGTTATATTGATTTTAGAATTATTTTGTGTTAATTTCTCATATATATATATATATATAGATATAATATATATATATAAGATATTGAACTCTTATTATTATAATATCAATTTTGTAAGAAAAATTGATATTATAATAAGAATATGCTTTGATTAAGAAAAATAATCATACCAGAGCCATTAAAGCGCAGATTGCTATTTTCAGGGAAAAGATAAAGAAATTTTATTCAAAAAGATATTAAATTCTCCTTTTGTTTTCATATATAGCTAGTTCTCTTTTTTAATGCTAAACAAACTTAATTAAAAAATTTAATATCAGTTTTAAGGACAGGGATAACGATTCAATTTATTAATTAAAACGATGATTGTTACTATCAAAGTGAATATCAGCAAACGGGGATTGCCAGTGCCACTTTCACAAGATAAAAGATCAAAAGCCAGAACTTTGGTTTTAAAAACTCCAGGATGTTCACACTTGAAAATTATATAAATTCATGTAAAAAAAAAAAAAAACACAAGAAAAGATGAGTATTATTATTATATATACAAAACTCATCTTCATCAGTCTTACAAAGATAAACTCGTAGAAAATTAATGTTTTAGTTGCATACTGGAGGTGAATTTTGAATGCATTGCCGTGTTCCGTATTCCAGTATTGCAGGAGCGGCCTTCTGATATTCTGTTTTTCTCAAAACAGTGGGGTCGTTTACGTAATTTGTCATGACCCAATTTTGGTCAAGAATGAAGGCAGTTTTGCAATACTGGGAGATCGTTGAATTAAGCTTTGATACGATTCCATAATCAAACGTAGTATTTGAAGGAACGGGGCATATGAAATCATAGCAACCTTCTTTTTTTTCTTTGAGAGGATCACAAGCAGAAATTGTCAGACACCCACCAGTTGTTGAACCACTCTCATCAGTTATGTCGATCTTGGCATACTTTTTACAACCAGTGGCAATGAAGCTATTGTGCTTATTTGTAAAGAAAAATGGTGATCCTGTACGGTTAATACCTGTAGAAGGGTTTTCTAAAGAAATTGCAGGCATTTCGACGCCTATCCCGAAGCTCATAGCAGCGGTGTCTTCTGCTAGTTTCAGCTTCATCTTCGTCAAGAAAGGTTGTCCAGAGGGAGTAGAAGAAGAGATGTTGCAGGTTATTTCAAACCATTCATTGAAGAAGCAGCCTGCTCCAATTCCAAAGGGATAGTTTATTTGGACTTTACCACAACTCGTTTGACATGAAGCTTCTGATGCTTTGAATTTGATTGTCCAGACTAACAGGATTATGATCTGCAATAACAACAAATGAAGATGATTAACAGCCATAATTAATTAATTAATTAATATTTCTGGTTCTGACAGCCCCTCGCTCCTTTTCTTTGAGCATTAATTTCATGGAAATTCATCATAAACGTTAGCTATATATATAGAAATGGAAGAGTATCTAGACGGCTCTCAAGGTTTTTCAATTTATTATTTGGATAATAAATTCAGCACTATTTATCTAATGAAACCTTAAAGTTTGAAAAATGTAACACTGATACTCCTTTGCCTTGTTAAATAGACCCTTAAATTTTTGAAAACTTTATCACTGATACCCCTTTGGTCTTTGCCCTAATTTTGTTACATTATAATCCGGTTTACAAAACACTTTCTATCTAATAAGCTCAAATTATTATTTTACCCCAACACATTGTTGTAAAATCAAAGTTATCATTTTACCCATCTAACACTAACGGCAACATAACGAAGTTAGAGTAAAGAGCTATCAGTGATATAGTTTTCAAAACTTTGAAGGTTCATGTGATAAAAAATACAAAAATTATATCATCCAATAATAAATTCAAAAACCTTAAGGGGGTAGTCTTTTATATTCTCTTTATAGAAATAAGTATTCTTAACATTTGCTCAAATGACATTGCAAGCTTTCACCATCAAGGGTATGTGGGTCTTTGGAGTACAATAATCATAAGGTCTATTATTAATTTGTTCACATGGTGAGTCTCCTCCACTGTAAACCAATAATTCTCAGTAATGGTCATCAGGTCCCATGAATAGAAACTAAAGAGATGTTGATGGAGAATAATGTTGCAGATAGAACAATTATATAAGAACAAACCATGAAACACGTTTTGGATAAATTTATAAGAATCTGCTTTTACAAAATTACAATCCACTAAAAGCACGTCTTGGTGTGTCCGAAGATGTCTTGTCAAAGCACGTCTTGGTGTACGTTTCGTTTTTGAGTGCTTTGGTGTGTCCGAGGGACGACTTGTCAAAGTCTCTTCTTGCTCGAGCTGGAAAGCAGTGTCTTCTTCCTCCTCCTTAATCTACAGACTTTTAATTTTACTTTCATCGATATTCACGTGATGGGTCTCTGTACTTGATCTCTCAATCTTTCATAAACCATCAATATCAAAAATACTTTCACTAGAAGCGTCTCTCACCCCTTAATACCCGCAAAAAAAAAATTTAGACTTCTTTTTATTTCGACAATATTTTATTATAAAAAGATAATATTATTATCATGTTTGATAGGCAATAATTACAAAATACTTAAATATTATTTTATTGAAATGTATTTTACAAGATTAGTGGATATAAATTAATATTTTGTTTGATTAAACATGTATACGTTTAGCAAAGCCACATACGGAGGATATTTCCATATGCACGTTTTATATCATGATCCATGAAGAACATCCAACATTGCATAATTGTCATCTAACACTCTGGACTGATGTAACAAGGAGATTATAATTTTAACCAGAATTTTAATTTATTTAGTTAATTCTTTAAACCATTATTTTTAGTATAATTAAGAATTTATTAGATGAAAAAAATAAAGAATGTATAAGCGTTATTATCTCTTTTCAGATACAAAATCCAATATTAATAAATCATGGACATTAATTTCTTCTACATTTTTGTCCAAATAATTAATTATTGAGGTTAAAGAAGCCATTCAACAAGTTAGGTTAATTTTTATTTGACATCAATAGGAGTGTATTTGAGTTTAGAACTTTAGTAAGGGTAAAATTATAATAAAAATATGATTACTATAGTAATCTTAAAATAGCACTTTTTAATCACATAACCTCTTATATCACCTCTCATATTATCTAAATAATAAAAGATTACAATAATCTTTTATTACCCACTGAACCAAGCAAAATAATGACCGAATTAAAAAATAAATTATCGAAGTAATCTTCCAAAGGCCCTAACCAAGCACAGGCTATTTTTCTTCTTGTATATAGGAAAAACCAGTATATTAAAATATAGTTTAAAGGTGCGAAGGTAGACTAGGAGTATACTGTAGAAGAGTTAAATCTTTACAAAAATCTCAAAAATCTACATATCTTGGTTGAACTATGCAATATGGACACTAAAAAGAGAGAGATTGCATCAGCCCATAAAACCACAAGAACAGAAAACTCCTATCCAATTATAATAATAAAATAAAAAAGAGAAAAAGAGATACCATGCCGAACAATAATACTAGACATACAAAAGAGTAAGAACTACACATCTCAATAAAGTCTTTGCCTTTTTTACTTTACCATAATGTTACAACACTCTTCATAAGTGAGGAAGGACAATTCTCGGAGTTACCCACTGAATTTTTACTTCAATGCATAATTTAGCCTACAAAAAAGCCGCCACTGGGCAATGAAGGAACAAGTGGTTAGAAGTTTCTTCATTGTTTCGACATGTAACACACCGTGAAACGAAATGATTCATTATTTGACTTGAACAATTTCTGCTGTCTCCTCATGGCATTTATATAACAGCATCAGTTCAAATAATTTTCTTGAAAAAATACTACACTTATCGAAACTCTATAGAAGATCTTTCATACAAAATAACGTATTAAAATAGGATTGAATACATTAATATAAAAATCAAAATCATTAACTATCATTTAATATACATTTATAAAGTTGATTTTTATATTAATTCATCCAATCATATTTTGACACGTCATTTTATATGAAAAATTTTCTATAGAGTTTTGGTAAGTGTAGTATTACTTAATTTACTTGTGATGTTTTTTGACATACATTGAAAATAATTTTAGCACCCTCAAATTGAATATTAGCAGAAGGCCTGGTGAAAATCATATATGCGTGCTTCCATTCTTATTGAATATAGAAATTAATTAAATTCACGTGTCGATGATCTTCCATTATTTTCTTCCTCAGACTTTTACTATTACATAAAGACTATAGATGAATCAAATGATAAAATATTTTCTAAAAGATATTTTGAGGACACAAATAGAACTTAATGCTCAATAACACAACACTCAATAACACAACACATTCAACATACGATAAGATACAACCAAAACAAAATAATTATTTTTCTACATTGCCACACTTGCTTGAAATCAAAGGATTAACCTATTGAAAAACAAGTACTACTCAAAAAATGATCCAGTAAACGATGAACTGGCTTTAAGTTGACTGTTTATGTCACCATCAACATAATCACCCTCTTCACAATTTTGTTTCAAGATTGAGGCTCCAATGGATATTCTAATACCTGCTAATTTCGTTGTTACTTCTCTCATTGTAGGTCTCTTCCTCCCATTTAACTTTAGACATCTTTCTGTGAGATTAGCAAAGACTATAATCTCTTCTTCTTTACCATCCTTCAAAACTTGAGCATCAACGATTTCAAACAAACGATTCTCTTTCATTATCTGAAGAAAATAGAGTGCTAAACTTTTATCTTCTTCTTCCAAGTTAGTTGAACGAACAGGTTTTTGTCCAGTTAAGAGCTCCGCAAGAACCAATCCGAAGCTGTAAACATCACTTTTTTCTGTAAATTGACTTGATCGAAAATACTCTGGATCCGGATAATTTTCGATCAAGTGAGTTTGGTCAACTGGAATAGATCTTGAAGTTCCAACATCTGAAACTTTTGCTCGATATTTTTCATCCAACAGTATGTTTGATGACTTAATATTTCCATGATATATGCGTATAGAATGTAGATATGATAGAGCATCTGCAACTTCTATGGCAATACGTAGGCGTAAGTCCCAAGTGAGTGGAAATTCCTCATTTTGCTCATGTATATACTGAAAAAGAGTTCCGTTAGGAACGAATTCATAGGCTAAAAGGGGAAATTCAGTGTCCAAGCAACACCCTAAAAATTGAACCACATTCCTATGATTAATTTTTGACAAAATATCCACCTCATTGATGAATACATCAACTCTTTCAGCCACTTTCTTGAGCCTTTTAACAGCTATTAGTCTTCCTTCCTCCAACATTCCTTTATACACAGTGCCTTGACCTCCTTGACCAAGGATTCGAGTCTCATTGTAGCTGTCAGTTGCCTTCTCCAATTCATTCTCGGTAAAGAATTTTAGTTTCTGAATGTTGCCGTCATTGGACGACATGCGTTGTTGTAATAACAAACCGCCGTTTTTCTTAAAATTTTTTTGGTTAAGCTTGTTTGCTGCCTTTCTTTTAACGAACTCGTACAAACGCCGTGCTCCCATAGATAGGGACAACGTTCCAAACGCAGAACATAAACCTGCACAACTCAAGTAGAAGAACATGTACATCTATATGCATATAATCAAGTTATTGATCACTTGTTAACAATATTTTGATGAATATTTTGATGGATATGCATACCTATGGGGATATCTTTGTTCTTCCCGGGACCTTTCGGGGGAGCTGGGTAACACATGGGTTTACCATCAACTTTTTGAGAACTATTGAACTTATAACCATGAGGACATATGAAGCAATCGTTGCCGCTTGTGATATTACAGAACAAGGTACCTATACAAAAAAGAGATAATTAATAGATAAAATATCAAATCAGATCACCAAAATTTGAAAATCCTACAGAAGAAATGCAAAAATGAAACCTTTACATTTGACTAATATTACTTTAATTTAAATTCATTGTTTAAATCCGTACCTGTGCAGCTTGATTCATCGTTTTTTTCTTTTGGCTGACTGCAGACACAAAAAAAGCCTGACTTTAATTGTGTTAAACAAAAACCATCGTCGTTACAAAATGTTTTCCCCGATTTATATGGTTCCGCACAATTCCCCCTGTATCTTCCGAATTCCATCACTACAGGAAAAAGCTCTCTTTCTTTCAAAACATTGGGATTGGTATTGGCTAGGTAGTTTGTCATGAGCCAATCTTGCTCAACCATGAGGGCACCTGTGCAGTTCTCGGGAACTGAAAAAGCCTGATGACTTGAAGAAATGGTGCACATCAAATCATAGCATCTTTTATCTTTAGCAGGATCACATGTACAAATAGGCAGACACCTAGTTGTTGACTTGATTTGATGTCTTTTGAACGTCGTGGTATAACTATTACAACCAGTGGCCATGAACTTATTGAGCTTATGTGAAAAGTTAAACGGCGTTCTTGACAGGTTTTCAGCTTCCAATTTATTCACATAAGCGCTTAATCCAATGGCCATCCCATTGCTTCGACGAGAGATGTCTTCTGCTAATTTCAGGTTCGTTCTACTGAGAAAGGTACTGGAAGCCCGAAGAGTTGCCACGTTACGGCAAACCATTCATTGTAGTAGCAGCCTTCTCCATTCCAAGGGATATCTTATTCGCTGACATTACCACAACTCGTTGGACATGAATTGCTGAGGCTTTGATTGCCCAACTAACAAAATTATGGTATCGCACAACAAGAAATGAGATGAACAGCCATAATTAGTTAATCCTGCTGCACTTCTTCTTTGAGAAATTTGATGGAGATTCAACTAGATGTTAGCTCTATATATAGATATTGAATTAATTGCATGCACGCCCTCCAGTTTTGTAGTTTAAATGTTGGTATATACCCCACTTGATTGTAACAAATTGTAAGAATATAATAAATTAATAACCTCAATTAAATATCTCTTATACATCAAAATTATATATATATATATATATATTAATATATCATATATATCTATATAATACTTATTAGAGGGAGACATTTGTAAAATATGATTCTAATGTTGTTTTCTATGTAAAATTGATGTCTTCTTGGACTTCATCTCTAACTTTTCTTAATGTATTAAGAAGCTCTAATGTAGTATTCTCGTTAAATTATGCGATTTGATTATTGCTTTGAGTGCAATTTTACGCAAGATAGGCTCTAATACAAAACTATCGTTTTCAACTTTATTTTTAACTATACATAATATGTACATGTATTACGTTTGTTGTTTTGGAGAAAAAAAAATGTCTCGGTAAATTAATAATTTATTAATACGTATGCGTAAATAATTTATCAATTAATTAATAAATTTTTATTGTTTCAAAAATATTAATTTATCAAAACTTAATTATATATTACAATTGTAAGACCTAGATCATGATTGACCAATAATTGAGGGTGGATTTGATCATTTTCTCTATAGAAATTAGTATTCTTGACGGTCACATCACATCACGTGCATGTCGGCGTTCCACCATTAACGTATTACATATGTGGGTCCCTGAATCGTGTCCGAAGGAGAAAGATACATAAAGTAACAAATAATTGAGGTCGGTGTGTCAAAAAGCTTAGACAAAATATTTGTTTAACAGAATATTTTGAAATTATTGAATAGGTGATGTCATCCTTGTGATGTATGAATCGATTTTGAAGATAACTGCTGTTAATTAAATTTCAGCCCTTGGATTGATATGGAAACAAGGTATGAAGGTTTTTATTTTTTTATTTAATTTAATAAAGTTGAAAAAGATACATACCATTTTTTGTCATTTATTGTTGCCGGAGACACTAATCTCAGAAATTTCTGTTACTTAGGGTGTGTTTTTTTTTTTTTTTCTTTTATGAATTTTGTCTATCTATTTTATATATTTTTAAAAATATTAAAAATGAATTTAAAAGATAAAAAATTAAAAACACGTTTGATATATTTGTCTGAAAATGATATTTTAAAATGTGAAAAATGAAAATACGCTAGACATATTTGTCTAAAATATAAGAAAAAAAAATTTATTACTTTGACAACGGAAAAAACCCTCATAAATTATCACTTATTTTATTCATATCAAAAAACTTATCATAAATACACAAGTGTTTAATTTCCATTAACAATTCTCTGTTGAACTGAAAGTTTTTACTTTAAGAGGGAAAAGAATAAAATATAATAGAAAAAAAAAATATATAATAATTATTTTATTGAATATTAATTTTTAATTGGGAAAAGTGTAATGAACTTCATAAATAAGATTTATCGAGCATTGATTTTGGGAATCCCAAACCCAAAGCTCAAAAAATGAGTGAAAGACATATATTTGTTTAACAGAAACTATAATGTATTTGTATAAAAGCTACTATCGTTATTTGGTATGAACCTAACTTAATTTAGGTACATTTTATCATGCACTTAGATTTTTATAAATGTTAGTCGACAATTATTTTAGATTCTTTGGGCATGTTAATTTATGTTAATGAGTCAAATTGTTGGTGTTTGATTTTGACACTAACGACTTGTACGTACAAAGTGTTAAGTTGTTCTTAGAAATTATATGTGAATGATTCATGAAAAGTGTTTATGGTATTGAGATTATATATGTTTACAGAAATATAAATAAAAGATTGATAAGAGATATTTTTATAGTGGTTTGGATGCTTAAAGCGAATCCTACATCCATTGTTATTTTATTATTCTCTGACTATTTTTTTGATATTACCTGTAAGACATACAAAAATGGAGAAATGCTTTGTTTATAGAAAAAATAATAAAGCTCAAATGTTTGTCTAGCTCTCATATGTCTAATCAGTCCATTTTTTATGAAGAGGGGTGCCTATTTATACACCTTTGAGCTCAATGTAATGAATGCTTTTACAAGTTGTCTTGACACGTGGAGACCACTCATTTATCCTTATCTTTAAAAGAGATAGGATTAATGTAAAATATCTCTTAGAGACGGTTTTGGTTTTTGACAACTAATACCACCTTATTTTTAAGTGCTTGTTGAACTCTAATTGGTAGTACTAACATCAGTGTGTATTTTTTGCACACTATGGGATTTGAGGTGCATGACTAGACATTAACTATAGGTTAATGCATTACGTACTCTGATACAAGGGATATCTTGTTAAATAAAAACTAAATAGCTATTCCTATTGAACAAAGGTCATTAAGGTAAAAGGGTGTTTTCTATAAGCAGCTTTGAAATTATTGAATGGGTGATATGATCCTTGTGATATGTCAATTAATTTTGTGAAGGTGTCTTGAATTCTCCATTGGAAGAAACCTGGAGGCTTCAAAAGGTGATTAAATTTCATGGAGGCAACTGGTGATTAAGTTTCTCATGAAGACAGCTGGAGTGGTGGCCGACTGAAATTCTTCTATAAAAGGGCAGCATAAGCTGCGGAGAAAACATATGAGAGTGAAAAAGGAAGAGTGAGAGTTAGAGTGATTTTGAGAGAAAAATCAAAAGACAAAATCTCATATTTGTATTCGTAAAAGAGAGTGTGCTGGCAGGGAGAAATTTGTATAATCCAAATTACATAGTGGATCTTTTATCTCTGCCATGGTATTTTTCCGTAAGGGTTTCCACTTAAATCCTTAGTCAGTTATTATATTCCTGTAGCGCTAATTTTTAGCATTATTTACTACAAATCGATTATATAAATGTGCAGTGTTAATTTTCAGCATTATTCAGTACAAATCGATTATATAAATGTGTGTTAATTAAATTCAAGGAAGTAAGTCCTAACAATGCAAGACCTAGATTATAGTTGACAAAAAATTCAGGGTGGATTAAATCATTCTCAAATTAGCATTCTTGATGCTCAGTGCTGACATCACATGCATGGCGGCGTTCCACCATTAACGTATGTGGGTCCCTGATTCCGGTCCCAAGAAGAAAGATAAATAAAGTAACAAATAATTGAGGTTGTTTTGCCAAAAAGCTTAGACAAAATATTTGTTTAACAGAAAATAAAATGTACATAAAATATATTTTATTGTTCACGGTTAGGAATTAAAGTTGAATCATGCACTTAGATTTTGAAATTATTGAATAGGTGATGTCATCCTTGTGATGTATGAATGAGTTGATATGAAAACAAGGCACGGTTTTTTTTTTTTTTTATCTAATAAAGTTGGATAGAATTTGAGGTGGGTTTTTGTTGAATGGAAGGATTCCTCACCCGTTGGTAAAGTGCTCAATTCAACTCAATTGAACATGATTTTGATATCATGATAGAATTTAAGGTTAGTCTAACTCATAACTCAATAAGGTCTTGTTGAGTAAGAGGATTCCATTCTCTCATAAACTAGTAGGTTTGAGAGTGTTTACTCGATGTGAAACTTCAACAAAGTTGAAAAAGATTGAAACCTTTTTTGTCATTTGTTGGTGGAAGAAAAGTATTTGGAGAAGTGGCTTTGCTTAATTGTTTTCTAGTTTCCTGGAGACACTACTTGCTTTTCTTAGAAATTTCATTAACTTATGTACAAGAGATGAAAGGGTTTATCAAACTTTCTCTTACTTTACTACATATAAATTTGTTGGCACAGTGAGTCACCACGATCAACCAAATATTCTCAGTAATGGTCATCAGGTCCCGTGAATAGAAACTAAAGAGATAATGGACCCAATGGAGAATAAAGAACAAACCATGAAACACGTTTTGGATAATTTATAAGAATCTGCTTTTACAATCCACTATAAGCACGTATTGTCAAAGTCTTCTAAATTATGGAGGATTTACGTTTCTAAGTGCTTTGGTGTGTCCGAGGGACGTCTTGTCAAAGTCTCTTAAATTTACTTTCATGGATAATTGGATATTGACGTGGTGGGTCTCCACCTCAGATCA